ATATATATATGGTGAACAAGTGGATGCAATGATCAAGGAAGTTATGGCAACCTTGTGAGCTGGCAGGTCTATCTATGATAACTCTGTTAACTGACGGACCTGGCTGAGATACGAATAAGATCTTCTCAGTGTCTAGGAGAGATGTCAGTGAAAGGACGCAATAACCTAAAGCTGTGTTTTTGTAAGTTCTTTCAAACAGATACTTGTAGCTTACTGCTACTTGATACTTTAGAAGGATACTGCCTCACGTCACCTACCAGATGGCGGGACAAAATTCTTAAGTAGAGTACTTAGCGAAAGCTAACCATCCCTTTAATTTATAGATGTCCCACAAGAAATTTGTAACAGTAAGAACAACATTTAGTTAACGAAGAGTCGGATACCATGCCAACCCAATCGTTCATATTTTTTGGTACAATAGTACAGTACCTTTCTTTATGATCAACTGCATATTTTGCAGAATCTATGAACATGTTACCATCACTTTTTTCATTACTATTTTGATATAATACAGAGTTGAAAATATAATTTTATCAATGTTATAGGATACATTGGTGACATTAAGACTCTTTCAGAGAACACAAATATGACTTCAGAATAGTGAAAGTTTAGTGAAATTAAGAGACTTTGCTTTTATCCATTTGTAATTTTTACTTTTACAAGTTTATATAGCATAATAATAAAAGTTTTGGGAACCTTAAAGCCATGGGTTCAAGCCCCATTCCAGACGAATTAATTACACATTATTTAACCTTCACTTTTTTTCAAAATATTTATTATATTTCGTTTGTTACATATAATTGAATGATTTTTTTCCCATCAGTTATACTTTGCATACTTCATATTTTTCAATCATGCCTTTATTCTTTCAAAATTTTTACCATATATCTTAAATATTGATGGATTAGGGATGAGAATTAGTGATTCATAATCTACTTAACTACCACACACTATTAACTTTATTTTACATAATATTAATGCTTGAAACTCTAATATGTGATCACAAATACTAGTAAGCATATGTATTTAATTTTTCATTGCTAGCTTACATGTTACTACAGTCGGACCTCTATGTACCGATACTGTTGTTTGGGGAAAATATATCGGTATATCAAATTATCGTTACATAACCGTCATCAGTGAATCATAATGCGGGCCACCAATTCTTGCCAGCATTATGCAAACCCCGATAGCTAATATATTAAAGTGTCATGTGATTTGGATGGAACCTTTATGTTAACTCCGGCCAAATTTATAGTGTTGACCCGAATTAATACTAGTGTAACCTAAAGTATCGGTACATCTTACTATGTATTAATTATAAAGGGGCATAGAAAAGTATCGGTACATGTTACATCGTGAAACCATATATAATATCGGTACAACGAGATTTTTTTATTAATTGTGAAACGGGAAATAGAAAATTTATCGGTACAGGCAATTATCGGTACATAGGATATCGGTACATAGAGGTCTGACTGTATATGGCTTATGAAGAATTGTAAAAAAAAAGAAAATTGAACTAAAATTGCAAATAATTTATATTATTTTCATATCATTTAAAAGCTATTGCTTTAAGAGTTAGCATATAAATTTTTATATCTTTATCTTTTCTAGAAAAATTAGATATCAAAAAAATACTGACATCAATTATATTTTAATTTAACCATTTATTATTTTTTAATTATTTTTAATTAATGGAGTTATTTAACATTTTATATCGCTAGCTTTCATATATGTGTTTTTTAGTATTCATTTTATCACATATTAAAATTTTGAGTAATCTTATTATGTATGTTTCTGAGCAATTGAGCAAAATCAGGCGTCCGCTACTTTTGTCCAAGTAGTGTATGTTTCTCTAGTACTACGCAACAAAATAAAAATAAATAAATAAAATAAATAAAAAATAAATGAATTACCATAAATAATTTGGTAATATCTATTAAAGATGAAATGTAACTAAGGTATTTTTTCAACCCTTTCACATGTATATTAGGTTTCAAATTTTTGATACGAGCTTAATTCCTGGATTGATGCTGTTTCTGTCTCTTTTTAAGGTTTGATTTTGAGGAATAGACTCAAAATTTTCTACACTAATTTTCTACACTTTTTAATACAGACATCAAAACTGTCCTGATGACTAGCAAACAACCCTCTCTTTAATAACCTTCCACGACCTAACCTGTGAAAGATACCTGTAACTCTAGTGAAATCATTATTCATTAAAGCAGTTTGAAACTCTAGGAACTTTTGCCTGATATCTTTCTTATTGAAACGTTTTTTGTTAAAACAATTAATTGCAATCCTCGAGTTTCTAATGACCAGGATACCAATGAGTATAAATATCTCAAAGCTTATACGTTCAATTCATGAACGAAATCGTTAATTCTTCTCATACTCATTTACCTGTTTAATACTTAATTTTTGAAAAAAGCTAAAATAATAATTGAAAATATTAATTATTATTATTATTTTTTTTTTTTGAAAAAATAGAATTAAAAAAATATACATACCTAATGCGAGGCTTCGATCAGCTTGCTGTGTATATAAAAATTAAATTACTTTGCGAGAGATAGGAACTCTTTGGATTATAAATATCCATGATCCATACAAGGATGACGATTTGAAAAATTGACAAAAAAACCGTGCTGGTCAAGGTAAAACAATTTTAGATGAAATTTATCAAAAAAAAAAAAAGAATGAATGAATAATAAATGTTTATTTTATTTTACTTTTTTTTTGATTTTTTGGTGTTTTAATTCATGGTAATTCACAGATCAAGTGTAGCACATGTATTTGCATATTTACATTATATGATGATATTTCATGTATTCTACTATAAAGTTACATCTCGATTTTTTTTTTTATTATATTATCTATGGTGATAAAAAAATTTGAAAGGAACCTCTTAATTAAAAAAGATCCTAAAGCTAGTTTTAAGAATTTTTATTAGTAAAAAATCAAAAATTTAATTAAAACGAGAGCAGTTCTGTTGTTCAATTTATTAATCAATTTTTGAAGAGAATTTTTCTTGATTAAGCCACGTAATAAAAATTAAATCACGTGATGCGGTGAACTCATTTATTTAATATAAAAAATCTTCTTTTAGGTATATATATATAGCTCTTTTTAATTTGTAGATTGTCTAGGTTTCTTCTTTTCTTTTTTCGCTATTTTCCCAGTAACTTAGTCTTACTGTTAAAATTGTGCTATCTGAAGGGTGAGGTCCTACGCATTGGGATGAATAATCTAGTTCTTTATACCAGATAGTTTCCTTTGCTTGTCATATAGCTATACACAGATTACCACTCTTTAGAATAAAATAAATAAATAAAATATTTAATATAAAAAAAAAATAATTTTCTTTCACAATAATGGTAGTTTATACGTTTATTATTTCTTATAAAAATATGTTTGGAAGAGCATTCGCTCAATTGAAAATTTTACTCCCAATGACTCCCACAATTTATTAATTAATATTTCACAACAGCTTTACAAATATTTTTACCACTCAACATATTAACAAACCCTTTTGCAATATTTTCAATTCCTACATAAATATTCACTTTATAAATAATTTTACCAGTTCTAACCCATTCAGCAAAATCTTTTTCACAATCTCTTTCAATATCCGTTCCTTTATATTATAGTACGATAAATCCTTGTATACGAATAGCTTTAAGTAAAATTCTTTCTACATGGTTTAACTTATATATTTCTTCAGGATTTGTTATATTATATTGTGATATTATATCACAAATCACAACACATTACAATGATCAATAACTATATCAAGAGTTTCTCCACTACATTTAACAAATTAAAGAATGTGGTTATGTATATATATGTATGATCATATTTATATGAATACATACCCGACATTGTCAAAGAGAATATCAATACAATTTGGACAATGTTTAGATAATTCCTAAAAACTATGTAACATGTCTAATTATCATGAAAAAAAATTCTTTATACCTATATACCTTATCAAAGTCAATTAAAAGCAACATCAAATTTTAATTCATTTAAAAGAAAATCAACTTTCTCATCAGATTCGCTATTTGACCGACAAATTGTCCAATAGAACCAGCAGCAGCCTAAAAAATTAGATAATTTTATTATCAGATATCTTTTTAAGAAAGAGGAGAAAAGAAAAGAAGCAAATACGAATAAAAAGATTCATTATTGTATACCAAGCTATAATGATCAACTTTTAACTCACTATTAACGTGATATGTTTTGGTTACTCCTTGCCCGAATGATGAGAAAAGATAGTACACATGATACAGTATACACTATATTCTTGCTTAGAAAGTAATTCTTGCAAAGCACCTCTTATATGATTAGCCCACTGCTGTGGCGTTTCATGAGGTCTAATAACAGATCTCTTCGGACGATCTTATACTATATAAGAAAATTAATCGAGATTAAAGGCTTCCTCAATTAGCAAGTACTTAATGGTTCGGAAGAAAATTTTTATTAGTAAAATTGGTCAAGTGAGTTTATCATTTCAATCAACTGTTACGGACCACGCTTGTGTTTACTAAATTTCAAGGTTTATTTATTTATACAACAAATTTATGATTTTTTTCCGAGGAAAAATATATTAAAAAGTTCAAATAGTTTCTTTCTTTATATGAATTTTTTACGGAAACATATCAAATTAAGAATTTTAACAGTATCTTTTCTCAAAGTCAATTACCTGAATACTAATTTCCCGAACCCTTTCCTGAAACATACAATTTTCTTAATCCTTATTTCCTAAACTCCAATTTTCTGAAATCCTATTTCCCGGATCCGAATCTCAATAGAACCCAATTTATTCTTCACATCCGGTCACGCACCCTCGTTGATTACATTATATACGAGACACTCATCATTTTTACTCCATGCCGAGAGAAACTCGGTAAGATTCGGTATAACTCGCTGTGCTCGTACCAGTGCTCCGAATCTAATAATATTCTGCGTTTAACGTGTTTAAAAGCTTATTTATTTCGCTCATTTAGAGTTTATATCCGTCCATCCGGATATCCGATTTTTGCGTTATCCGTTTATCCGGATATCCAGCTGATTTATCCGGATATAATCCGGATAATCCGGATATTACCCGGATATCCTAAATTATCCGGATATCCAATTATTTTTGCAGACTAATTCAGGCCAAATTTATAATTCTGACCAGGATTACGCCTTGGTAAGATGATCATTTCCATTTTTGGCGATAGCCGTTCCACAAAAAATTATTTTTCTAAAATTCAAAATTTTCCTTTTTAAGAGGTTGTGTAACATAAATGTCTAAAAAAGGAAAGATTTTGTCATAATTCCGGCCGGCATTATAAAATTTGTCCAAGTTACTCTCAACGGATAATATCCGGATATCCGTCGGATTATCCGGATATCCCAAATTCTGTATCCGTCCAATCCGGATATTCGAATATCTGCGAATATCCGTTTTTTAACGGATAACGGATATAAACTCTACGCTCATTTGAATATTTAATAATCCTTCCCTTAATATCTGCAATATCCAAAAACCAAAAAAGAAGTACAGAAAGTAAATAAACACGTATATTCTAAAATGTGATTATTTGAAATCAAAGACGATACATGTATGATTCCAAGAGTAATTTGGCACGTTTCTACATTGCGTCACGTTAAAATTATCGTTATTTGAAAAATATTTGATTTCAAGATACTTTATTAATTGTTAATATGAAAATTTTAATAATATGGTATAGTGGAATAAGTTTATATCAATTACAGTATTATTTCGAAAACCGTATTCGTTTATAAAATTACACTGTAAGAAATTTTTTTTTTTTAGATAGAATTTCGTATTTATATATAATAATTTATTATATGAGAAATAATTTTTAAATAGGGTCAAATTTTACAATATTGAATCAAAATATAAAAAAGGATAATTTTAATATTTGTTTCAAAAGTAAATAAATAAATTTAAACGTATTAAATTTACAAAAAATTTAATGTACAGTACAAAATCAAGTCAAATCTAATGATAACCACCATGATGACGTGGATCTGCGGAGCGTTTATTTAGAGTGCTACGAAAAGGTGTAGAGTAGTGCCCCTGTGGTGAGTAGAGTATAACGAGGATGTGACATTATACTCAAGTGATAAATAAACACCTCGGCCCAAGCTAGGCCCAGCGGTTTGGCCGGGTGTCTATTCATCACTTGAGTATAGTTCACACCCTTTATGTTACACACCGCTAAACATCACAATACTCTACTCAACACACCGGCCCTACTCTACTACTTTTCGTTTTACCTTTTGGCGAGTGTCACTATACTCTACTCACCACGGGGGCACTACTCTACACCTTTTCGTCTTACCGTTTATTTACTGCACAAGAAAAAATAATGTTATGCATTTTCACAAGTAAAGACATTAACTCTTGTTGAAATAATTTACCTTCTCGGTCTACGACAATTCCTCCTACATTATTTATAAAAAGATTTTAATATTTGAATAATTTGATAATTAAAATTAATGTTAAGTAAAAAACTGTATATTTATTACCATCTGTTTCAAAAGTAAAGATAAAAAAGACAATGACCAATAACAAATATTTCAAATGCATTATTCAAAAAAATTATTTTTTTCGTTGTTTGTGAATTTGTTCAAAAAATATTCTCTTTTCCTCTGGTCATTTATATAAGAGATTTTTTTTTAAAAAAAATATATTTTTCGATAACACGTACTATCAAATTTTGAATCATTTTTTTATTTACGGGTTACATTATTTGAAAGCCATTAATTATTAATTAAAAGTTAGAGCTAGTTAAAGTTGTTAACCAATTACTGGTTAAATATTTGTTTGAACCAGTTAAAGTTTAGCTCGTTATGATCAAGTTAAATGTCCGGATATTAGTTGGAAAAACTGTTAAGTTTTTTGGGGCTGGTTTCAATTATAATTGAAAGTGAAGTGTAGAAGCACAAAAGTTTGCTTGCCACGTTTTTTTGCACCGCCCAAAATTGGGACAAGCTGTGCCACTATAAATTAATAACTTGAAAATATGAGAAATTATTAAAAAAATAGCAATATGGCAATTAGATATTGGTCGGTTTTAATAATTAATCAAAACGCAAAAGAGTAATTCTTGATGTAAGAAATATTGTATATTTAGTCATACATATGTAATAATACCATGTTTATGTATAGAAATATAATCTGAAGTTCATTATATTTTGGACAAATAAGCGTTTCTGTAATAAAAGTAACGAATATTTAAAATACATGATTCTGCGCATGATAAAAGTGAGTTGACTTCGAATATTTGATAAAGTTTGTGGTTTTAAGGGATACGAAAATAGAATTATTAAAAATTATAGTTTCGAAATTCCCTAGCGTCACAGCCGTCGGATTTACGCATGACTTCGGACACAGATTGTTGGGTAAAATCTATTTTTTTTAGAAGTATTTTAATAACAATAGAATTTATAACATTTTTAATTCAAAATTTTTATTTCAATTATAAAGTTTAATTATCATTCCCAATATATTTTATTATTATTAAATCTTGTCATGTTTTTGTCACAGTATTTTTTTAAAAAAAAAAGATTAACGCGAATAAAGACAAACTAACTTGAAAAAAATAATATATCATTCTGTTGATTATTTTTAATTAGTTTATCAAAAATGACATTTCAAGCTAAAGCTACATGTTTTAAATTAATTATTTTAATAATTATACTCGATTAGTCTTTTATCATAAATTTCATAAATAAAAAAAAAAATTATTCTTGATTGTTGAATTATTAATAGATACTCGTTAAAATAATCAAAATCTGCGTTAAGCTTTATAATTTTATTGAAGTGCAAAGTGCAACCCGTTTTAGAGTCATAATTAATTATACAGATAAAAGGTTATTATGTTATAAATTAAGTAGTAAGGCTCAAAACATAAAAAATTTCTTTGTTATTACTTCAAACATTCGATTTTGTATTATCTGCAGTTTATCGTTACAAGAATGCTCTTAATCCTTGCGTCAGCAATTTTGGATGTAATGTAAACTCAAAAAAAAGGTTTGATAATAGTCAAATGAGATTTGGCTTGCATAAATTTTAAGATTATCTCATGTAAGATATGTAAGTTTACTCCCAAAAAAAAAAGATCTTGTTTGATTAAAAAAAAAACCTTTTTTTTTTAAAAAAAAAAAAAAATTTTCTCTCACGAAATTAACTTTTTGAAACGAAAATTTTTTTCTAATAATTTTTCAAACGAAAATTTTCAAATGAAAATACAAATAAATTTATAACAAAAATGCCCGTCAAGATCTCAACCATATTGTACATATCTGAATATAAAGAGAAAACGTCTAGTGGATATTTGGTTGGAAGCACTATTGGTTACACTAGACTCTAGGAAGATGGTGATCAAGTCATTTTACCCTATTGATAGCTCAAAACCATGCTATTTGTCAAACCAAAAGAAGGACAAATATTATCGATTTTGAATTCAAAAATTTGTAAAGGAAACAATGGTGAACTTGATGTGAGTTAACTTTACTTAAAGTATTTTACTAAAATTTTTTATTTACTTATTTATTTTATTTATGTTCTAGCTAATTTTAACATCAGTGTCGGTACTAAATATCGCACCCGAAGACTTACCAACGTACCAAATAACAGCAGTAGGGATTGCGTCTGCTTCAAATACTGCTATAATCAGTGAACTTGGAGTTCAAGTCGAATGCACAATTTCCAACTACATATCAAAAGAAAAAGCAGTTGAAATACCCGTTGTCCTATTCCATCCCTCTGGAAGTCGGTTCACAAATCAAACAATGACCATCCAACGAAATTCTTCAATATTTTTTTCCGGGGCATTGTCTTTGATAGAGGACAAACTTTATTTAGAATTACAAAATTCTAGTTTTATTCGTATTAATACATCTTCTGAAAAACAAATGCCTTGGTCATTAAAATCAACTCAAACATCAATCTCAACTTCAACTAATACTGCTTCACGTCATTTCTATAAAGCGTATTTTTTTCTTTGATCATATAAGTTTTAATTTTTATTTTCAAATATTATATTTTTATGAACCTGAGATACATAACGTTGTTCCCATAGTTATTGTTACCTATAGTTATGTATATTATACTGTATATTATTAATAAAATGAACTTTATCGGTAGTCTAATTATTCATTAATATACTGATTGGTTCATCTCTATCCTAACATAATTGGTGTTAAATATTGCTTAATTATATCGTCCATCTATCCAAATAATCTGTTACACAACATTGGCATCCAATGGTTGGTTCAATTTCAAATAGTTCTTCTTCTTTAACACAACCATTAATATTAACCATCAAATCACATAAAGTAGACTGATTAACTTTATTGTGTATTTGCTTATTAATAGATTTGATTCTTTGCGTGCTTTGCACGCCACCTGTAAATTGATTACATATCCATGAGATAGCCATGACTCTTTACTAACATAAAGAGTTTCTGTCATATATTTAACTGATTCAGGATATTTGATTGACTAGTTGCATCCATTGAGATTCAAATAATTCCTTACATAAAGAATTTCTACAAGCGTAAAATTTATGATGAAATTACTCAAAGCTAGCTCCTAATTTTCTCTTAAGTTTTTTTACAAAGATTTAAATCGATATGGAAGATACATAACAAGTGGTTCGTATTGGGATAGATTTCTTTGATTGCACTAATTCCTGAATCAGTAAATATAACTCCAGGATAGATACCCATTCAAATAATGTCATTAAAATCCATCGAAAGGTATCTAATGTTTCATCTTCTATAATTGCAGAAGCCGTGATTTGTGTTTGATGTGGTATCTAAAATTACTATACCATGAAACCGCTCATAAAAGTTTCGCTGTGATGGTGACATCCACAATAAATGATTTAACTTTCTTGAAGAAAGTTCTAAACATGGTTTAAAAATCCATAACAGATCCAAGTCTTTCCAATTTAACAGCATTTGGAGCATTTGAGATGCATCTGAATCACCAGGGTTGTTTTTGAGACGAAACTGATATACTGCATTATATTAGTCTTTTTTAAATATGCTATTGTTAGGATAATCATGATTAAGTATCGTCCTTGTATGACATATTTTTCTATGTCAGATAACATGATCCGTATTAAATATTAAAACGTTCGATACTTTTTGCATGTTTGATATTAGCGTTATTTTTGTTATACCAAGAGGCTTTTTTTTGGTTCTCTCAGTTCGGAAAAGGAGTAAAAAAAAAAAAAGATTAGACTTTCATATGTCAATAATAAATCATTATCTATTTATTTATTTTATTCTAAAAGGATAAGACCCGTACTAACTTTGTGTAGAATGCTATCTGGAGGTAATAAAGAAGGCTAACTAAAGTAAGTTAATGAGCGCGTACTCCATAAGGAGTTCACCCTTAAAAAAAGAAAAAAGAAGAAAAAGAAATAGTTATCATTGGAGAAACTACGCCGCTAAGACAACTCATACGAAGGGGTTAATAAAAACAAGGAAGCAAAAGAAAATAAAAATTCGTAACAAAACAAAAAAATTAATTCTATCCATATTTTTCTTTTATCCGAAAGTGTTGTACGTAAATACTATTAGGTACGAGATGCTTTATCAGGGCAATTTGAATGTGAAATTCATACAATACTCAGAGATTGTGGACCACCTATTCAATAAGATTTGACCTAATTTCGAAAAAAACTGAGTAGATATTAATATGTTTTTTTTATGCTATAATAACGATTTGAATGAAATTTATAAGTTAATGTAGTGTAACCGTGATGTACTAAAAAAAATACACATTTGTTCGTTATCGCAACTAGAGTGTATGATTTTGTGCGTGTCTGCGGGATTCATAAAATAATAAATACGTAAATAAGATCATTAGGCTGAAATTTTTAAGTCGTACAGAAATTAGCTAATTATATTCAATTTTTTAAATTTAAACAAACTAAAAATTCGGTCAGAAAAAAAGTTAAATTTAACAATATACTTTAACATAAAATATTTTTCTTTCATGTGAATCATTTAAAAAATCTACATTAACGGATATCCAATGGACGGTACCCATAAACAACATTTTTCTTTTTAAGACAAATATTAAGAAGCAAAAATTAGTGTGACTTGTACCAAAATCGAGAAATACGATTATAAAAGAACGAACAAGAACGAATTAGTAAGAAAGTAACGTTTCAATTTATTATATACAGTACATCTATTAATGTTTTTTTTTTGTTTTACGCATAAAAAATTTTTCATAAAATAAGTTATACTTTAAAAAAAAAATTCTTGTAAATATTTATTTTTCCCTTAATTTTTCAGTTACTCAATTTTAACTCACGTGATTAAGGATTTATATGGATCGACTGTTTACGTAAATTTTGTGAAACTAATTAATCTTCCGTACGACTTAAAAATTTCAGCCAAATAATTTTCATTATTTTATTTACATATTTATTATTTTATGCAAACAGCAGACCCCGAGACCCGCACAAAATAAAAATTACTCTTTTGGATGTGAAATTTTTTTTTTTCATTATATACAATTCTTTAAAAAGAAGTTGATAGAAATTATTTTATATAATGATTGAATAAAGTATATTGTTAAATTTATGCAAACCTACGCCAACGGATATCCAACGGAATTATCGGAAAAAAAAACGACATAAAAATTTAGTTGGCCTCGAATACTACCCATAAACAATATTTTTCTTTATTTTTTTGATAAATAATAATAAACAAAATTAGTGACTTGTAACAAAATCGAGAAATACAACGAGTATAAAACTATACAAGAACGAACAAGAACGAATTAGAAAATAAACAAAATTTATTATATACATCTATTGATGTTTTTTTTGTTTATTCATAAAAAATTTTTTCATAAATTAAGTTATACTTTAAAAATTGAAAATTATTTTCCCTTTACTCCATTTTAATTCACGTGATTAAGAATTCAGACTGCTGTTTACGTAAATTTTGTGAAACTCACTCCGGAATTTAATAGACCTTTTTCCGTTCATCCTTTCATGTTTAAAATTGTATTTTAAATTTTATTACAGTATTATGGCTACTATTCGAGAAGAAATAACGAGAGCTGCAATCAATAGAGCATATGCATTAGTAGACTTTAATATTCAAAATAATTTAGAAAAACGACATGTATTTAGAATACAAACAGTTCTTGCTGACAAATCTCTTACAAAGGATGAAAAATCATATGCAGTAAAAATATTAAATAAAGAATTTGATTATCATAAAATTATTAATAATCAAGGAACAAAAAGAATTTGTGAAAATTGTCATGATGAATGTTTAGCTACATTATATTGTGAACATTGTATTCGAAATTATTTAAAAGAAAATTTTTCAAACTGGACATCTGGAAATAATGATATTGATAATTTAATACAACAATGTCAAATAAAAGCACTTAGACCAGATTTGATAGTAGAATGGATTCCTTATAATAATTTACAATATATTAAATACTTAACTAAAGGTGGATGTTCTGAAATTTATACTGCAGTTTGGATTGATGGACGTTATGAAGAATGGGATTTAAAAGAAAAACAATTAATAAGAGGTGGAAGTAAAAATATGGTGCTCAAAAAATTAGAAAATGTTGAAAGTGCCAATAAAAGTTGGTTTGAGGAGGTATATACAAGTAATTAAAAGTATTTTGAATTTTTTTTTAAAAAAATTTAATTGCAATTGTTTTTAATTTTTATAGGGTATATCTCATCTATACTTAAGTAGCAAAACTTCCCTTATAGTGCAATGTTGTGGTTTAACTCAAAATCCATTTAATGGAAATTATATGATTGTAATGAATCTTATGAATTTTAATCTAAGAGAATATTTGCAACAAAATCATAATGAACTTACATGGAAAGAAAGAATTCAAATTATTTATACTATTGTTGATACAGTTTGGTTTATTCATAATGAAAATGCAATTCACAGAGATTTACATTCTGGAAATATATTATTTAGTCAACTAAATCAAAGCTTTTTCGTCAGTGATCTTGGATTTTGTGGACCAGCTAATAAACCATTAGATTGCATATATGGAAATCTTTCATATATAGCACCTGAAGTTATTGTTAAAAAGAAATATACTTTTGCAGCTGATATTTATAGTATTGGCATGCTTATGTGGGAAATCTCATCTGGACAACCGCCTTTTATTAATAAACATGATTATGATCTTGCAATAAAAATAATAAATGGGATGAGACCAAAAATAATACCGGGTACTCCTTTAGAATATAAAGAATTAATGGAACAATGTTGGGATGCTAATCCTACGAAAAGACCTGATATTAGTACTCTTTCTTATAAATTTAGAGATCTTAATAGATCATATTCTCAAAATGAAAATGAACATAGTAAAATCATGAGTATTAATAACTCTCAATCAAATACAAGATTTAATGTAAATTCTAGCTCTACTAATAGTTCCTTTCTTGGGAATTTTAGTGTAAATTCTAGTAATTGGGATATTAGTAGTAGAGTTTATAATTTTGAAAATTTACCTGAACCAAAAAATGCAACAAAAGGTAAGAATTTTTTATTATACAATTTACTTTATACAATATAATATTAATTATTTACTTTATTTATTTAGAAGAACAAGATGGTAATTATTAAAATGTGCTTAACTTAATATTGTTATTTTTTACCATGTTAACTTTATTTTTATAGCTTATCATAGTATACAATTTGATTTTGATTTACAAGATGGTTTGATTATTGGTAAGATTAGCAATTAATATATTTTTTAAAAAAATTTCGATTTATAATTCTAATTTATATTCATTTATTTTTAAATAAAATAGAAGAGAAATCTAATAAAAGAAATTATTTTGATGGTAATAAATCGCTTTTAAATAATTTATCATTACAATACCGTAAATCATATAATCAAATTTCTTATTTATTATAATAATAAAACAGATGATGAAAAAGATTTAGCTTCTAACTCTAATAAAAAAAGTCAATTCAAATAATAA